TGCCGCTGTACAAAGAAATTAAAAAACAATACAATTTAAATTTAACAGTTCTTTTTTTTAATTTACTGATAATTATTTGCTAATTTAAAGTTCATAGCTGCACTTTTATTGTGTTTTTACGTACATTCTGGACCTAAAAAACATTTTGCTCTGACAAGAGGCACCCCAGATAGTATTAATGTTATTTTGTCATCACATGTAAACACCTGCAATCGACTTTTGTGAGTTTTTCCCTCCATTTCTTATAATGTTCAGTGAGAAGCGCACGCCAAAAGATTAAATTGTTTAATCTTTTCGCTAGGGTTCACATTTCCGCAGACTGGCAACGCTATGGAATTTTCCGGTATTTTTTTCGTCGATCAGGGGACCGACGTGAAAAAAAGGCCCGACGAAAAGTGAACGCCAGCTGTTTGCCTCTCGCTCTCTCTCATGACTGGCGTACGGTTTACGTCGAAGTGGATACTAGGCTTTAACTTTGATTCGCCAGTCGGATAGCCATTTCTCCACTGCCACTAGGTGTTTAGCAAGTTGCGCCGTAGCTTGCTTGGGGCATCTCGAGCGGCTTAGGATCGCTGTGTCATCAGCAAAAGTGGATGTTGCATGCTCGTTGGGATGTCCGCAGTGTAGGTAAGGTAATGTGTTGGTCCTAACACGCTGCCTTGAGGAACTCCGGCTCTGATGATGCAATCATCGGACATGGCAGCATTATATCTTACTGAGAATTTCCTGTTGTAAAGGTATGACTTTAGAAGTTTGTGAGTGTTGGTTGGGAGCATTTCTGTTATTTTGTGCATTAAACCTTCTAACCATACTCTGTCGAAAGCTTGTGATACGTCCAGAAATATCGCAGTCCAGTACTCCGTTTGTTCGAATGCATTTCGGATTTCTGAAGTTATGCGGTTGACTTGCTCGATGGTTCCATGTTTTTCGCGAAAACCGAATTGATGAGTCGGGATTTTGTTGTGTGTTCTGAGGTTTGGGGTAATATGTGCCAAGAGACATTTTTCGAAGAGTTTTGATAGACACGTTAGTAAACTAATTGGTCTATATGATGAAGCAATTGTGCGGTCTTTGCCAGGTTTTGGTATCATTATGATGATCGACTTTTTCCATCTCTCTGGGAAATGTCTATGTCTCGTTATTGCATTGAAGAGTTGGCAAATAGCTCGAACTGCACAGAGAGGAAGTTCAATAATCATTTTTGGTGATATTAGGTCGCATCCTGGAGATTTTTTGGGTTGAGTTGTTCATATGATTTTGAGTAACTCATGTGGTCTAAATACAATTGGTTCATACGTAGATGTGTAGATGCAGATTCTAATGGTGCACTGAGTGATGAGTGTGCTCTCCAAAGTGGGAACTTGGAGCTCATTGGGGATAACTGCTCTATGTAATGTTTTTGGGACCTTTCTTCTTCATGACGTGATGCAGCTGAGAGCCTCCGTGTAGCATCTTTTAACCTTTGTTTTGCAGATGGTGATCTGTTGGATTGCCAGTCTCGCCGTGAGCGTCGCTTTGCTAGAACAAGCAGTTCTATTTCAACGTTCGTGTATCTATGATTGTACGATGTTTTTTGCGTTTGTGGAGTTGACATGCGAGCTGCTGCGACCAAGACGGATTCAAGAGTGTTTGTGGATAAGTTTATATCACCTTCGTCATTCAAACGTGGATTCAACTCAATATGCGAACTTACATATTTTTTTACTTAAGCCAATTGGTTTTATTCGTTGTTAGTCTGAATGGTTTATCTACCGCAACTGGATGTAGATTTAGTTGAAGGAGTACAGGCGAGTGATCAGACGATAGGTCTGATAAGGAGTTGGCGCTTATCAGGTTGCGTGGAATGTTTTTTGTGACTGCAAAATCTATCAAGTCTGGCAGTTTTCTGGGATCTGTTGGCCAATATGTAGGTGTCCCAGGTGACACACAGTCTAGCTTGTTCCCCAGTATGCTTGGCATTAAAGTCTCCTGCTACTATAAATTGTACGCTCAGAGAGTTGAAATAGTCCATGAATTGGGATTCGGATATTGTAAACCAAGGAGGACAGTATAGGGCGGCAAGCTTTAAAGAACGGTAATCCATCTGTACATCTATAGATGTAGCTTGCATGTAGTTAGTGGCGAAGCTATTGTGGAAGCAGTGCTTAATGCGATTTCTAATCAGAATCCCAGTGCCTCCGTGTGCTTTCCCGTCTGGGTGATTCGTGTTATAGAAGTAGTCTCGAATTTGGAAATTGTATTTATTTGTAAGATGAGTTTCTGCGAGTAGCATTACATCGATATGGTTATTATTAAGGAATTGAGTTAACTCGAGTTTGCGCTGTGAGACGCGTTCCACAGTGATATAATAAGTGGAGCCATTGATTACTTAGTCTGTTTTTGAGCAACAAGCAGCTCAATCAAAACGTTCTGGTTTCGCATAAGATCTTGCATACTTGTCTGCATGAATGACATGAAATCCATCATACTTTGTTGAAGATTACATATCATTGTTTCAATTTTGTTCGTAGACTGTTCTCCTGGTTGATGAGGTGAAACTGATGATCGTGGCTTGGTGGGAGCGGTACTTTTCAGACCCATTTTTAGAGCAGTTGCAAAGCTTTCGAGTTTGTCGGTGAACTCATTATTAGCTGAAGATTTCACGGCTGTAGGGGGGAAGACATCACGCGTAGATTTCATAGGTGTTATATGTGAGCGAGCAGTGGTCACTCTTTGGTGTGTCCGACTTTTCAGTTCCTTGTAGACTGGACAGCCCCTGTAGTTAGCCGTATAGTTACCTCCACAGTTTCCACACTTTTTGCTGCTGGGATGCTTTTTATTTTTTGGGCATTTGTGGGAGTCATGAAGGTCTCCACAAGCAACGCATACTGGACGAAGCGTGTAATAAGACCTTGTGTGGCCATATTCCTGACAATTATTACACTGCACCGGCCCATTTCTTTTAGACTTGGAGGCTTGGATTTGGTTTCGGGTTCAAGTTCTACCTTGAAAAGAGGTTGAGGCTTTCTTTCTCTATTTAAAATGTTAATAACATTTTTTTACATTAAAACCATTCTCCTTCAGTGCGCCTGTAACTTCAGCTGGTGTTACTTCCGGTTCAATACCTTTAAGTACTACTTGCTGGCCTTTACTGCTTTTTAATTGGTACGTGTAGAAGTTTTTATTGTTGTCGTTTAAATACTTCGACAAAATTTTGTAGCTTACTTCCGTATTAGTCTGAACTTTTGTTTCGTGAATATTTCCCTTTGTTAATGGAATTATGTGGAAATTGTCTGGTCCGATTAGATTCAGTATCGAGTTTACGAGGGCATTAGAACTTTTCTCTCGAATGTAAATCGGCGGCGGCTTAGGCTTTTTATTGTCCCCTACTATGTATTCAGGAGGTATTTCATCGGATTTATCTGCCAAAATAGCAAATCAATTCGCTCCTATGGGCTTCTCCATTGTAGATTGTTTTGAGGTGCCGCGAGTTATTTTAGCAGAATTACCAAGTCTAGAGTTCTGCGGGCTAAGCTCACATACGTTTTATTTGTATATACCGATCCATACCAGTCTGTACGGCCGAACATTATTTTGAAGAGAGCGCGCTGGTGTAAGGTGCTGCGTTATTTGCTTGCACAGCAGATTTCGTTGTTACAGTATTGCGCGAGCAGTCGATACTATTGTAGTTGTTGTAGAAGTTGCCGTTGCAGTTGCTAGTGACGTCAGTGTACTGGTGACCGTACTGGCATGAGGGAAGGGTATGGGGTTTTGTCCAACAAGAGCGCTGGTGAGCAAGGTTGGAGCACCTTATGAGTGTCGAATTCACTCATAACTTAATGTTTTAGATTTTCTTTTTGTTTATTTACACAAAAAGTACGAAGTTCATCGCACTTAGCGTATTTTCGCCCACTGTGTGTTGTTATTTAGAGCTTGCACTGCTTTTATTTAAATTTCCGTTGACGGTAAGAAGACAGGGAAAACACGTCTGCACTCGCAGACGTTCGCAATCGAAAAAAACGGAACCAATAAGTACAAATAATTTTTACAAACAGAAACTGAGATTAAAGGATGATGAACCAGTATACGTCAAAAATTATAGAAGCCCACACAGTCGAACCATCTGTATCTGAATATAATAGCCCATTATTACTTGTCCCCAAAAAATTATCTCCCGCTTCAGATTCAAAGAAATGGCGATTAGTGATTGACTACCGTCAAATAAACAAAAAATTATTGTCCGATAAATTTCCACTCAACTAGGGCAAGCAAAATATTTTTCGTGTCTTGAACTTATGTCGGGATTCCACCAAATTGAACTCGAAAAAAGTTCACGAGATATAACGTCATTTTCAACGAGCAATGGCTCGTATCGTTTCACACGATTAGCTTTCGGTTAAAAAATAGCGCCTAATTCATTTCAGAGGATGATGACTATTGTATTCTCTGGATTAGAACCTTCACAAGCATTCCTTTATATGGATGACTTAATAGTTATAGGTTGTTCCGAAAAACATATGCTTAAAAACTTAACGGAGGTTTTTGAGAAATGAAGGGGAATACAATCTAAAGTTACATCCAGAAAAATGTTCATTTTTTATGCATGAAGTGACTTTTCTTGGTCATAAATGCACAGATAAAGGAATACTTCATGATGACAAGAAATATGACGTCATCATGAATTATCCAGTACCGCACAATGCGGATAGCGCCAGACGTTTTGTACCTTTTTGCAATTATTATAGACGATTCATTGAAAACTTCTGCTCATGCCCTTGGCTATCTAGCTATTTAAACTAGCCCGGTTCGCTATGGGTATGGCTAGGATGGCCTTGGATTCGTCCAATGACCCACTTTTGGGAGAGGGAAAGGGAATATGGCGTGATGAGCATGACATTGCGTAGGTCAGGAATCGGGTTTAGTTGCTGCCGGAGATCAAAGCAATGTAGACGGAGTTCTTTCTATTTTTATTTTGTTTCGTTTGATACAAGAAAAAGTAAGGGTGCGAAAAGTGCTAGTGACGTGTGGAAATAAAGTGGAAATTTATTTATTTTAGGTACACCGGGTACCCTAGTACATAGGGCCCCGGCAGTTTTCTTAGATTTTCTTCGTTCTTCGCAAATTTCTCGGAGGAAGGGCAGCAGCCCTCGTGGTAGTACTCAGCCACCAGTAGCAGCAGCAGGCAGCAGTAGCAGCAGTAGCAGCAGTAGCAGCAGTAGCAGGAGCAGTAGCAACAGTAGCAACAGCAGCAGCAGGCAACAGTAGCAGCAGAAACCGCCGCAGGCAGCAGCAACAGCCGCAGGCAGCAGTAACAACCATCACCATCAACCAACACCGCCGCAGGCAGTTAGGTTATTTAACCACACAAAATTCAACGTTACATCGGTGAGTCCGTTCCGGGCACGTAGAACCCGAGCAGCACCACGACGCGACTCCCATACCACGCGGCATCTCCGACGTCACGGTCTGTAGTGGCCGAGGCAGGGCGTAATACTGGTTTCCACTCCGACGCGCGCCCTTTATAAGGGTCCCGAGTTGTCCTTCGCGACCCGCAGCCGGCTTACTGGCCGCGCCTGTGATAAGATTGTAAGATTTTTGTACTTGTAAATTTATATACTCACCCTCGTCCGTTTCCGCATGTCTTCGTGATTCCGGCAGCTTGAGTCCGGCCTTGCGCAAAACTCAGGGTCTGAAAATGCGAAAGCGGGCTTAGTAGAACGTAAAACAATCTATTCATATTATTCATATTTACCTGTCCCTTTTGTGTTTTCTTGGAGCTCCAGCAGGGTGATTAGGAGAGACAAGAGGTGTTAAATTAATTACAGCCGCTTGGCTTAAATTTTTCTGCGGGGCCAAATTTCCCGCCTTGCAGCCGGTGCAGTCCAGGCCGGGTAGTGGTTTTGTCCTGACCTGTAAGTAATGGTATAAGGAGTAGAGGATATGCTTAACGCTTATATTTGGCAATCTTATGTATATATTAATAAATAAATGTACTTAGAATGGAGATGAAGATGATGTGGGCCTAAGGCAATTACCAGCGGGGAGATGAACCGGTCGTAGTCTGGCCTGGCAGTGGCTCCGGCCTTAGAACATGGGTGATGCCTCCCTCGCGACACTAGGGGCACCACAGGGAGGGTGGGTGCGCTGTGGCAGCCACATCTGATGCCACTTTTCCGTCGTATTTGTATTTGATTACTTTTTCGTTGTTAGAGATGTTAGTATTTGTAGAGTGAGACGTCGATAGTAATCGATGTTTAGTGTTGTGGAAGCTGTAGGGGTACTCCGCCCTGAGGATTCCGGAGCTAGCCGGGGCCGTCCCAGGACGATGTAGTTCCATAACATTATGGCGCCCAATCTAAATATAAATATAAAGTGTCGGACGACGGCGTCTCACGAGTTTGCCTATTTATTTTCCCCTCAGCCAACAACACCGGTGACTTGCAGGGCAATATAAAGTTGCGTGCAACTGCATCGGAGGTGGTGGGCTTGGGGAAAATTAAGAGCTCGGAAGGATTTAGAGCAGACAGGAGGCTTGCCCAGACTGGAGGCAATTTGCTCCTGGTCACAGATCGCAGAAGCAGCGGTGACCTGCGGGTGGCATCTTAGCCCAAAAGGGAGGAGATTTGCACCTGCAGATAGCTAAATCTGTGATAAAAATCTGTGATAAAAAACTGTGATAAATTAGGTAGGGTTTAGTTAGTTATTTATTGGATGTTTGTTTTGTTATATTTTTGTTGTGAGAGTAGAAGTTTATCCTTTGTTTTGGTTTCGTGGGTGTGTTTGATTTTTCATCTCGGTTTTGAACTTAAATGTGTGATCGTGACCCGTGATGGACACGCGCTGCACGATAACCACGACCTGAGAATCAAAACATACGCGCGTAAAAAAAAAAAAAAGGATTCCACGAGCAGCCGATGTCCTTAACTGCCGGCTATCAACATAGTTGATAGCCAGTCCAGTTGACGAGCGGCGTGTGGAAGGACATATGGCGGAAAATAAAAAAATTTAAGCGCAGAAAAGTTTCTGGCACGGAGTCCACCGGCTGGTGACCGGTTCCATCTCCCCTAATTCAAATCTGAAAAGAAGCAAAATAAAAAGGAAAAATCATAAATATAATATATTATTTATTTATCTATTTATTTATTCTATTTATTTATTTATATTATTTATTCATTTTCCCAAGTATTTATTTATTTACCAAAAAATTTATAAATATCTTTCCTAAAATTATACATTTATTTATTTATTTAAAATTTTGTTTCTATAATTATTATCTGTTCTTACATGTATATATATTTATCTGTTTATTTATTATTTACTTGTCGTTATTATATTTATTTTTCTTCTTAAGTATTTATTTCTTTTGGTGATTTGTTTCGGGTGTTATACTAGAATTTTTAGGGAAATATACATATATTTTTTTTGTTGTGCTGTACGATGCCTTCCAAATACGATCTCCGATCGAAGGTTCTTCCGGCCGAGGAAGAGGAGAAATTGTGGTCCACCGATTTAGATGAGGTTGCCGGGGCCGAACAGCCACGTATATCGATGGGACTGCCAAGGACTCCGTTGGGTCGTCTGTATCAGGAGCTGCGCAGGGAACTTCAGGTGGGAACAAATCCCACGCAACATCTAGTTCTCGAGCAAGTAAACTCGGAGGCGAACCAGCTGCTACAGGTCGACGGAAAGGATGACCGTTCACAGGAGGCGTTTCTGGACAACGCGGCGAGGTCGGCCGTAAATGTGGCATTGGCCCAGGCGGCAGAGACCCATCGAAGGGCTCAGGAGTCCGGCGTCAGCCAGTCCTTAATGGATGAAATCCGAGGTGGCTTCCTGGAAATAATGAAGCTGATGAACGAGGAGTTAAGGCCTGCTGCTCAGCGGCCACAGCTTCCACAGGGGAACCACCCCGATCAGCAGCAGCATCCGGGTTGGACGGACACGGCGGCACCACAGGCTCCAAGTCTGGTCCAGAAAGGGGCGATTCCAAAGACTGCACCATCAGCAGACACGATTGGCTCCCGTCCACCGCCACCAAGGGTTCCACCAAAGCCGCCTAGAAGGCCCGTAGAGTCGTTACCAGTGGAGAGCAGCAGTCCAGGATATCCTCCGGATGGCGAACGAGGGAGACGAAACGAGTCTCGAAATTGGCACTTCGAGGACCGCAGGGCTTCCGATTTCCGCGAGGAGGCGCGTTTATATGACGTGCGAAACTCGGTGAAGGATTTTCTGTTCCGGCTCGAGTTCCTACAGCGGCAGTACCAGTGCCCTTAGCAGGAAGTGCTCCGCCATTTCCATGTGCTGCTAACTGGACGGGCACGCGAGTGGTATTGGGTCCACGTTCGTCACTGCAGGGTGGAGAGATGGCCGCAGCTGGGTGCCGCGCTAATGGATAGGTTCCGAGGCCACCAGACGGAGCACGACCGGATGCATCAGCTTCTGCAGAAGGAGCAACAGCCGGGAGAAGCCGTGGAGGATTATGTCCATGCGATGCAGCAGCTAGCCTCTCGCCTAAAAAAACCACTGTCAGAGCGACAGATGGTAAAAATTATTAAAAAGGGCTTGAGAGAGGGTATCGCAAGATTCGTTTACGCAATGGATGTGATGACTGTGGACGAGTTGAGGGAAGAGTGCTGCGAGGTGGAGCTTAATTTTGGACGACGAGGACGCGCGGCCTATGCGCACCCGATGCGTTATCCTCCGGCGGAGAAGGCCAGGGTTAGCGAGGCAGCTGGTCCAGATACTGCAGAGGATTCCCAGTGGCAGGTGAATGCGTTACAAGCGAAGGCGTTACAAGCGAAGGCCCGAAATCCGTTTCGAGCGGGCTGCTGGAAATGCGGAGCCGTAGACCACGGGTTCCGTGACTGCGCGGCAACAGAACGGTGCCTGTTCTGCTACCGATGCGGAAGGCCAGACACCGTGTCTCCGAGATGTCCGGATTGCGCGGAAAACGGTCGGCTGGGCGATCCGAGGGCGGGAAGGATGCGTCCAGACAAGAGTCCCGCGAAGCAGTAGATGTTTTAGGACTAAAAAAATTTTTAGTATGTACGAGTAGTAATAAGAACAATTTAAAATACTTACCCTTTGAGGAGAGGATGCGTCGGTACTTGGAGACCAGGAACCGAATTTTATCCGAGCACCAGTTAGCCGGCATGCGAACGGTGTCTAGGAAGGTCCAGAAGGCCAGGGATCGATTCCGGAAGAGACGAGCGAGGAGGCGAGAAGTGGTTACCGCTGTGAAGCGCAGTGGAACGGGAGACCCTCGACCATTCGCTGAAGTCCGGATCCTCCCCAACAGCTGACTGGATTGTTGGACACGGGAGTGAGTGTCAGCCCGCTGGGCAAAGGTGGAAGAGAGCTCGTCGAGGCGTTGGATGTGCCAATCCAGAAGTACCTATCCGTGGTCCGAACGGCGTCTGGAGAGGACCGCTCGATTATAGGACGCGTCAAGCTACCTGTGGAGTACTGAGGACAGATAAAGCGGATCCTGTTCTATGTATGTCCTTACCTGGAGCAGGAAGCCTATTTCGAAGTGGACTTCTGGCAGGCGTTTGGCTTGGCTCCGGCGGTGATAGGCCACAGCGACCCGGAAAGCGTGAAGAAGGCAGACGAAATCCACGCTAGGGACATGGAGCACTACGCCGAACAGGAAGATGACGACGAGGAAAAGCCAGATCCCGAATCCTGGACCTTATCCGAGGCCGACGCACGAGAGCTCGCGGAGATCCAGAAGGTGTTTCTCACATTTGAGAAGGATGGTCTGGGAACGACCAATCTGGAAAGGCACACGATCGAGCTGATTGAGGGAGCCAAGGTCTTCAAGGATCGGCCGTATCCCATGTCTCCAGCCAAGCAGAAGGTAGTCGAGGATGAGGTGGACAAGATGCTAGCGCTCGGAGTCATCGAAGAGAGCATGAGCCCGTGGACCAACCGGACGACGGTAGTGTCGAGACCTGAGAAAGTTCGGTTCTGCTTAGTCGCCCGCAAATTGAACGATCTGACCGTCAAAGACGCTTACTCGCTGCCTAGTATCGACGGAATCCTGTCCAGAATCGACCCAACCTTTTTACATTTCCAGCGTGGATTTGAAGTTCGCATTCTGGCAGATCGAGTTGGACCCGAAAAGCAAGGAACTGACGGCCTTTACGATTCCTGGTCGGCCTCTCTATCAGTTCCGGGTGATGCCTGGTTGGTGAGACTCATGGACCGAGTGATCCCAGCTGAGATTCGTTCCAACGTATTTGTCTACCTAGATGATCTGCTGATACTGGCTCCAGATATCCAGACTTTTTCTTAGGCTGGGATAGACTTCAGTCCGGCCAGAGTCCTCTACAGTTAAATTTGTAGAAACACAGGAGACGAAACGGGACTGGGAGTTGTATACGGGATCACGTGGTGTGGGTCTCCACCTCTACGTAGCGTAGATCGCTCGGAGGCGTAATGTCAACTGGCCGACACCAATTAGCACCCGGGTAGCTTTTCCGGTCTGGCAAACGTTCGTATTGGACAGAGTAAGCCTCGGAAGCGCAAAACGGGAACTTGTCTGACGCGGACGAGCACGCGTACGGCCTCGTCGTCCGTGTTGCGTAGAGAAAACGAACCTCGGAAACGCAACACGAAAACGGGGGCTGCCGCAAATTTAACTCACGGGGATTTTGACTGGGCCTAAGCGTGGCCGATCGGGGCTAGCTTTTCCAGTCCGGCAAGCGTCCGTATTGCACAGAGAAAGCCTCGGAAGCAATACGGGAACTTGTCCGACGCGAACGAGCACGCGTACAGTCTCGTCGTCCGTGTTGCGTAGAGAAAACGAACCTCGAAAACGCAACACGAAAAAAACGGGGCCGCCTCTAATTTAACTCACGGTATTTCGACTGGGCCTAAGCGTGGGCGATCGGGGTTAGCTTTTCCGGTCCGGCAAGCGTCCGTATTGCACAGAGAAAGCCTCGGAAGCGCAATACGGGAACTTGTCCGACGCGAACGAGCACGCGTACAGTCTCGTCGTCCGTGTTGCGTAGAGAAAACGAACCTCGGAAACGCAACACGAAAAAAACGGGGCCGCCACTAATTTAACTCGCAGGGATTTCGACTGGGCCTAAGCGTGGGCGATCGGGGGGGGGAACGCGGGGAAATCGACGGAAATTTTCCCGTCCGGCAAGCGTTCGTTTTGCGCAGAGTAAGCCTCGGAAGCGCAATACGGCAATTTGTCCGACGTGAATAGACACGCGGGCAGCTTTGGCGTCCGCGTTGCGTAGAGAAAATAAACCTCGGAAACGCAACTCAGAAACCTCACTGACCCGAAAAGCCCCTCCGCGAAATGCACTAAATCTTATTAGCCTCTCCCTAACCTGAGCGTGAGCAGAAAAGGCCGGCGATAGTTTCTCGCCGACCCGAAAACACTCAGCGAAGTTCCCTAAATTTTAGTAGGCTTGGGGGTTTGAATTTCACAACCCTATGTTCATTTTATTCACTTAGTGTTTCTCCCTAACCTTCGCACTCAGTGGGTTTCTAGTCTCTGCTTCTTGTCTTACTCTATAGCTTGGTATGGCGTTGCCGTCCGCGGGGTTTTCTGCTGCTGGTGTTGTCCTTCTGGTCTGAGTTGCTTGGCTGCCGCAAAAAGAATGAGGCCGATCCCCGTCCATCAAGGTTCCACGTCGACACGCTTTTTCCCTTTACAGCACGCTTTTTGCTATTAACACCACTAAGCTTGTCCTTAATCGCACGCTTTGCGTTTAAAATCTCGCGCGCTTATTCACGGGTGATTGCGATAACTTATCGATACTGTTGGACATTCGCCCCGACTGGCCAGCGGACTGATCTTGCTGATCAATACTGGTGACCTCGCGCGCGCCTATTTGAAAACTAGTATTACTTAGGTTTTAGACTTAAACATATATTTGAGAAACTATCTATAAATATCCCTTCAATGGCTGAATCGGAGAGTCGCAGAATGCCTGAAAGCAGCAGGGTTAACGATTGGTATGAGTAAACCAAAGTTTTGCTTCAAATCATTGACCTACTTGGGTTTTATCGTTGGTGGAGGTCGTCTACGCATGGATCCGGGACGAGTAGCAGCGATCAGGAGGATGCCAGAGCCTAGGACGATGAAGGAGGTGAGAGCGTTTCTTGGGACTGCTGGATGGTACCGCCGGTTTACAAAGAACTTTGCGACGTTGGCCGCCCCGCTTACTGAATTGCTGAAGAAAACTGGAAACTCGAAGTTTTCATTGAGTCCAGAGGCTCAGCTTGCGGTAGAAGCTTTGAAGATGGCGTTAACGTCTGCACCAGTCCTGGTGCATGCGGACTTTAAGAGACGGTTCTTTATACAGTGCGATGCGTCACACGTCGGAGTCGGGGCGGTGATTTTCCAGCGAGACGACGACGGACAAGAGCAGCCAATTGCCTTTTTCTCGGCTAAGATGAATAAACATCAGGTAAATTACACCGTGACCGAGAAAGTGTGTCTCGCGGCGCTCATGGCCACTCGGAAGTTCCGGCCGTATGTCGAAGGGATGCCATTCACCTGCATCACGGACCATGCCAGCTTGAAGTGGCTCATGTCCATGAAAGATCTGTCGCGACGGTTGGCGAGGTGGTCACTGCAGCCTCAAGGATTCCACTTCAACATCGAGCATCGAAAAGGGAGCGAGAACGTCGTGGCAGACACCCTTTCACGGTGTGTGGAGGAGCTCGTAGTGAATCCGACGGATTTGTTGGGTTTCGAAACCACCGAGTTCGCTGGAGAAAGTTACCTCGAGTTAGTGAGGGATGTGGAAGACAACTTGGAAAACTTACCGGACTTGAACATCGAGCATGGTCTCATCTTCAAGAGAGTTTCTTCATCAAATTTGTACGACGAGGTGGAAGGTTCGGAGTGGAAACTGTGGATCCCACAGAGTCTAACCCACAGCCTAATTGAGCGTGCACATACGGACCCAACAGCAGATCATGGCGGAATGGGAAAGACTCTGGAAATCCTCCGACGGTAGTTCTACTGGCCAGGCATAGTTCTCCAAGTCCGCGAGTTTGTGCGTGGATGTGATGTCTGCAAGGAATCCAAAGCGCCAAATTTCCGGATGCAGGTCGGTATTGGAGAAAGAGTCCAGACGGAACAGGCATTCCAGAAGCTGTATATCGACTTCTTGGGGAAATATCCGAGGTCAAAGAAGGGTCATAACTGGATTTTTATCGTGGTGGACCATTTCTCCAAATTTGTATTCCTGAAGGCCATGAGGGAAGCTACATCCTCGAACGTCGTCGATTTTCTCATCCACGAGGTATTTTACAAATTTGTCGTCCCGGAGGTAATACACTCAGACAATGGTCGGCAGTTCACGTCGAAGATGGAGAGTTTCGGTATCTTACACCTAAAGACTACGGTATACTCCCCACAGAGCAACGACGCAGAACGAGTAAATCGAAGCGTGTTGGCCGCAATCCGGAGCTTTTTAGATGGTGACCATCGAGACTGGGACGTCTACCTTCCGAAGATTGAGGTAGCCCTTCGAAACGCGATCCACTCGGCGACAGGAGAAGCGCCTTTCTTTACAGTGTTCGGACATCATATGTGAACAGCGCCAACTATAGGTTAGCGAGGAAGCTAAAGTCCTTGTGTGACGACGAGATGGCGGGGATGGAGACGGCGGACAAACTCCGAGTGATCCAGGAAAAGGTCCGAAAGAATCTGGAGACAGCCTATGACCGAAGCCGCAAGCGATATGACCAACGGGCTCGAAACTTCATGGCCAAGCCAGGTCGGAGGTATACCGCCGAAACTTCGTCCTCAGTGACTTTGGAAAGTCGTTCAACGCCAAGTGCGCCAGGAAATTCCTTAAGGCTCGAGTGGTGAAAGCCGTTGGCAACAATGCAAACGAATTGGAAGACCTGCAAGGATGCCACCTCGGAGTTTACCACGCCAAGGATATCCGGATGTAATCTAAAAAAAAAGGTAGCACAAAGTAAAGGAGCGCAAGAGAAAAAAACAAAGGCAGTACTTCCCGGCAAGCGTGGGCCCCGCGTAGGGCACCGTTTGGAACTGCATTCGAATTTCGCCAGACACCGATCTCCAATGCTCCCAATGATTTCGTCGAGTGGCCTTGGTTTGAAGGCGTCTCTCTAAATCCTTGGGTGGTGTTGCATTTCAGGTTGGAATCGGATGGAAGAACTAAGAAGGAGGTATTCGTTTTTGGTATCGATAAAGTTTGGAAGTGGCGCCCCCTATTTAAGTGGCTATCTAGCTATTTAAACTAGCCCGCTTCGCTCTGGGTATGGCTAGGATGGCCTTGGATTCGTCCAATGACCCACTTTTGGGAGAGGGAAAGGAAATATGGCGTGATGAGCATGACATTGCGTAGGTCAGGAATCGGGTTTAGTTGCTGCCGGAGATCAAAGCAATGTAGACGGAGTTCTTTCTATTTTTATTTTGTTTCGTTTGATACAAGAAAAAGTAAGGGTGCGAAAAGTGCTAGTGACGTGTGGAAATAAAGTGGAAATTTATTTATTTTAGGTACACCGGGTACCCTAGTACATAGGGCCCCGGAAGTTTTCTTAGATTTTCTTCGTTCTTCGCAAATTTCTCGGAGGAAGGGCAGCAGCCCTCGTGGTAGTACTCAGCCACCAGTAGCAGCAGCAGCAGTCAGCAGTAGCAGCAGCAGTAGCAACAGTAGCAACAGAGGCAGCAGCAGGCAACAGTAGCAGCAGAAACCGCAGCAGGCAGCAGCAACAGCCGCAGGCAGCAGCAACAGCCGCAGGCAGCAGTAACAACCATCACCACCAACCAACACCGCCGCAGGCAGTTAGGTTATTTAACCACAGAAAATTCAACGTTACCTCGGTGAGTCCGTTCCGGGCACGTAGAACCCGAGCAGCACCACGACGCGACTCCCATACTGTAGTGGCCGAGGCAGGGCGTAATACTAGTTTCCACTCCGACGCGCGCCCTTTATAAGGGTCCCGAGTTGTCCTTAGGGGACCCGCAGCCGGCTTACTTGCCGAGCCTGTGATTAGGTTGTAAGATTAATTTTTGTACTGTAGTATGCGCATATATTGAATATCTACTGTAAACACACAACACTGTGTTGCAGTGCATTCATAAAGGCCCGGTCAAATAACCTAAGTGGCCGAACACGAGTCGATCGGCGAGCTCACAGAAAGTGCAAGTGTCAGCATTCTGTTACACACGCCGGCCGAACTCAAGTGCATGCATATACCCTCGCGCTCCAGTTTAAGAGAGCATAATTTAATACATATAATATATAGGTACATAGCCGTCTCTCTGCCGCCACCTGCGAGCAGCGCAGCTACGAGACTTAGACTTAATTAGACTTAAAGAATATTGTAAAAGAACAGAGACACTTTGATCGTTGGAGCGGCACCATTGCTGCTCCTACTAAATAAAAAACACAAATTGGAACCAAACAGAATAATCTTATTTCATGGCGACCGTGACTAGAGTCACAAGGAGCAGCGGATCGGGAAGATTAATAATACAATGAGGATACAAGGAGGATATACACAAAAAAAACACGTCTGAGTGAGTAGAGTGTGCGTGATGGTACGTGGAGGTCAGAAGAATAAAATTAAAAAAAAGAATAACCCGCATAAAGTGGCTGCTATTTGCTCAATCAACACCGCCCGCGTGGACGACGGCGCAAAAACTTTATAATGAGCTTGAATTTTTAAAGGAAACCCTCCAAAATAGAGTACCACAAGGCACAACTCACTCAGCAACCCAAATACAAGTAATAAATGAAAAACTAATAACGAAACCAAATATTCCCAAGCCACTGCCGAAACGACCACAAGTCTGCCCGACCGACTGCCCCGGACCTCTCAACTCTGCGGCATGCAATACCGCATGCATGAAGCCGAAGACCAGTGCGAAGACCAGCACCGGTACCGCCTGAGCCCATAGGCCCAGGACAGCAGCAGCAGATATCAAGCGTGGGAGGCACGACCGCCACCTGCGCCTTCGAAGGAGCGTCAGCGTAGCCAAACCGGCGACGACCAGTTGACGTAGAAGGAAGAAAGAGAAACCAACCAAGCTGGATCAAAAATTTTTTTTTACCCATGCACTGCGTTGCATAATTTTTTTGATTGCACTACGATGCATATTTTTTTTATATAATATAATATTTTGTAAAATTGAACGGAACCTGCCCGATTAGATGTGTAGCCCGTAAAGCTATGCAAAAACTAGGTAGGAAGTTTGTTAATTTAAATGCGCAGTAATGCGATAAGTAAATTTTCAATAGAAGATCATAATAATTTTAATAAAACACTTTATACACATAAAATAAAAGTATATGCAAAACCCACCAAAATGACTTTGGACATAAAAACAGTGGATTCCACTGCCAATGTCATCAACAAGGTAGAATCTAGCAACATCAATCTATATTGGGTACATATACTCTTGATAATCATTGTTGTTATCATGTGCGTCACTTTCTTTTACAAAATTTACAAGCTGCATAATAATTGTCTGAAAAAAAGGTATATGAGCCGGGGAAATGACCTGGATAAAATATAAGCAGCAAAATAAATAAATAAAAAAATAAAATAAAAAAAAAACAGCACAAACAACAGTGATTACACATAAATATATTTCATAAATGTTAACACCTAAAATATAAGAAAATGAAATACAATAAAAACAAGAAAGAAAAGCTAACTTCGGGCGGAGCCGAAGTTGATATACCCTTGCAGAATATTCTGTAAATTATATTCTCCAAAATTATTCATATGATGCAATCTTAATACTCATAAAAAATCCCAACTTCCTAACTTTAAAAACACCAAAGTTATGGCATTTCCAATCGTTCAGTTATATGGCAGCTATAGGATATAGTCGGCCGATCCTTATGAAATTTGATAGGTTGGATTGATTGGTTAAAAATAGAACCCATAGAAAATCCCAACTTCCTAACTTAACAAAAACCAAAGTTGTGGCATTTCCGATCAATCAGTTATATGGTGGCTATAGGATATAGTCGGCCGATCCTTATGAAATTTGGTAGTTCGGATTGATAGGCCAAATATAACACCCATAGAAAATCCCAACTTCCTAACTTCACTAACACCAAAGTTATGGCATTTCCGATCAATCAGTTATATGGCAGCTATAGGATATAGTCGGCCGATCTTTATGAAATTTGGTAGGTCGGATTGATTGGCCAAATATAAAACCCATATAAAATTCCAACTTCCTAACTTAACAAACAGCAGAGTTATGGCATTTCCGATCAATCAGTTATATGGCAGCTATAGGATATAGTCGGCCGATCCCGGCCGTTCCGACTTATATACTGCGTGCAAAGGAAAGAAGGGTGTGTGCAAAGTTTCAATTCGATATCTTTAAAACTGAGAGACTAGTTCGCGTAGAAACAGACAGACGGACAGACAGACGGACAGACGGACAGACGGACAGACGGACAGACGGACAGACGGACAGACGGACAGACGGACAGACGGACAGACGGACATGGCTATATCAACTCAGGAGGTTATCCTGATCAAGAATATATATACTTTATAGGGTCGGAGATGTCTCCTTCACTGCGTTGCACACTTTTGACCAAAATTATAATACCCTCTGCAAGGGTATAATGAATAAATAAAAATAAAAAATATATATTAAGTAAAAATGGCTACACTAAAGGCAATTAGAGACACGTATGATAGGGACATTCACTTTAAAGAAAGAATTCTGCAATTAGTTTCAGCAACTTCAGTGAGCATTTATGGTTTAGAAAATGTATATATTGAAACATTTAATTTAGATACTTCTCCACTAATACATTGCACAAGCACCCAAAAGGGAATTGTATTATCCACTATTCCAGGCGTACAAGTTAGATCGGTAGTAGACGAGCACCCAATACTAGGTAGAGCAATAGTAATGACAGTTTTCAAGAAATAATTCATATCCATAATATAATGGAATGGAATAAATTATACAAGTTAATAAAAAAAAAAATAAATATAAAAATATTTCAATATATTCTTCTTACAAAGTATGGCTAAACTAAAGGCATGGAATGGAACAAATTGTACGGGGAATTGGCAAACATTAAAACTAATTTTGACAGATCATACAAGTCACTAACCCAGAATAGACCCATCCAAAAGAACACGGTTAGGAAGCATGTTGAAATATTAGTAGAGCGCGAATGATCACAGGGAAAGATTAAATCAAGATCATTGGTCACAGGTATCGAAACTTTTGATACGACTACGATCTAATTTAATATTTGTTAAACAAAAGTTCAGTTTAGAAATATCGGTACCAACCGTTCTAAACACTCCAATAGCAGTTGACACTGCACCTGACCCGGAATCAACAGAAACGAATGAATCGGAGTCAGAAGAGCTTCCCGAAGTAAACCTCAAAATAGAAGATGACGATTTGAATAATCTTACTATTCCGGCGGTATACACTGATCTGGACAATTCAACAGATTCAGATACTTCGAGTGTAATAGAAAACAAAATAAGTAACTCTATCACAATGGCACAATCAAATATTGATTTTATTAATACAGCATCCAAGCTTATACCAGTTTTTGATGGTAAGGCTGAAAATTTAACAAGCTTCATTGATGCTTTACAAATAATAGAATCAATAAAAGGCGAGCACGAAGAATTAGCTGTGTCCATAATTAAAACAAAGCTAAAAGGTGTCGCCAGAAATCTATTCGGTAATGAAACCACAATTACTGAAGTGATTTCCAGACTAAGAGGCAACGTCAAAGGCGAAACTGTAGAAGTATTATCAGCGAAGCTGATGAACCTACAGCAGCGCAATAAAACTGCTAACCAATACACACAAGAAATTGAGCAGATGACGAAAGCCATAGAAGGTGCATATATAACAGATGGTTTACCTTTAGAGCTAGCCAGAAGTTATTCCACGCAACATGCAGTCAAGGCAATGACTAAAAATTGCTCAATTGATAAGGTAAAACTTATCATGCAAGCTCGCACCTTTAGTACTATGAACGATGCCGTTTACAAATTTGTCAATAGTTGCACTGAAGCAACTGGACAGTCAAACACCGTCCTATATTTCAAGAACTATCCACAGCGCGGCTCAAATCGCGGACGTGGAAATTATAGAGGTAATTTTCGTGGTAATCACAATAACTACAACAACAATAACTATAACAACAATTACCAAAATAACAATGGACCAAAGCGATGTCAGAATAACCCAAAATACTAACCAAAACACATCGGAAAACTCCCAAAGCCCTTTAAATACTCAACAATAAAAGAAGTCAGAGTTCACACCATTAATCTCAGCCAAAATATATTCGTTTCATTTTTCAATGTAGCTACTGGAAAAGAACTTATCTTTTTAATAGACACAGGTGCGAACATTTCCATTTTAAAAGAAACTTCGGATAACTTCCAAAACATCCAAGATGATTACATCATAGACATAAAAGGCATAAGTCAAGAAATAACCAAGTCCCAAGGTTTAGTTTCTATGGAGATACAGACAACTAAATACATAATTCCACACGATTTTCATATCGTAAATTCACATTTCCCTATTCCATGCGATGGAATATTAGGCATCGACTTTATTAAAAAATACAACTGTCAATTAGACTTCAAGCCATCTGAAGATTGGCTCATAATTAGACCCAATAATTTAAAATTTCCAATTAATGTACCAATAGCTCATAGTTCTGGCAATAATTCAATACTTCTGCCAGCAAGATCCCAAGTTATTCGGAAAATTGAACTTAATTCAAAAGAAGACAGTGTATTAATTCCAAATCAGGAAATTCAGCATGGTATTTACGTTGCAAATACCATAGCAACATCCAATAATGCCTTCATAAGATTAATAAACACAACAAATACCGACCAAGTAGTCAGTGCAGATAACCTAACATATGAATCACTTTCGAACTACGATGTAGTCAACACAAATCCAGACAATAGAAAAAAATCCGTACTATCACAACTTTCAAAAAACTTCCCTCCGCAGTTCAAGTCACAGCTTTCTAGCTTATGCACCCAGTATAGCGATATATTCGGATTGGAAACCTAATCAGTAACCACAAATAATTTTTATAAACAGAAACTGAGATTAAAAGATGATGAACCAGTCTATATAAAGAACTATCGAAGCCCACATAGTCAGGTGAACGAAATACAAAAGCAAGTAGGAAAATTAATCTCTGACGGGATTGTCGAGCCGTCAGTATCCGAATAAAATAGCCCATTGTTACTTGTTCCTAAGAAATCATCCCCCGGGTCAAATGTAAAGAAATGGGGATTAGTAATTGACTACCGCCAGATTAATAAAAAATTACTATCTGATAAATTCCCATTACCTAGAATTGATGATATTTTAGATCAACTAGGTCGAGCAAAATACTTTTCATGTCTTGACTTAATGTCAGGATTCCATCAAATTGAACTAGAAAAAGGTTCAAGAGATATAACGTCCTTTTCAACGAGCAACGGCTCATATCGCTTCACGCGATTACCATTCGGATTAAAAATAGCTCCTAATTCGTTTCAGAGGATGATGACTATTGCGTTCTCTGGTCTAGAACCTTCTCAAGCATTCCTTTATATGGATGACTTAATAGTAATTGGTTGTTTCGAAAAACATATGCTTAAGAACTTAACAGATGTTTTTGAGAAATGTAGGAAATACAACCTAAAGTTACATCCAGAAAAATGTTCATTTTTTATGCATGAAGTGACTTTTCTAGGTCATAAATGCACTGATAAAGGAATACTTCCAGATGACAAGAAATACGATGTCATTATGAACTACCCAGTTCCGCACGACGCGGACAGTGCTAGACGTTTCATAGCATTCTGTAACTATTATAGACGTTTTATAAAAAATTTCGCCGACTATTCACGGCACATAACAAGATTATGTAAAAAGAATGTTCCTTTTAAATGGACGGATGAGTGTCAAAATGCATTTCAATACTTAAAAACAAAACTTTTGGAACCCACCTTGCTACAATATCCAGATTTCACTAAAGAATTCTCTATAATAACAGATGCAAGTAAGCAAGCATGTGGAGCGGTTTTAACTCAAAACCATAATGGTCTCCAACTTCCCATTGCATACGCATAAAGAGCATTTACAACAGGTGAAAGTAACAAATGTACTACTGAGCAGGAATTAGCTGCAATTCATTGGGCGATATTACATTTCAGACAATATATATATGGAAAACATTTCTTAATAAAAACAGACCATAGACCTTTAACATACCTTTTCTCAATGATCAACCCCAGTTCTAAACTGACACGTATGAGGCTCGAACTAGAAGAATACGACTTTACAGTCGAATATTTAAAGGGAAAAGATAATTATGTAGCTGATGCGTTATCAAGGATAACCATCACAGATCTACAAAATATAACTGGAAATATATTGAAAGTCACTACTAGATATCAAAGTAGACAAAAATTCCGCGCGGAAAATCAAGAACAAGAATTGCCTATGCAATCTCTAAATAAAGCTTCTAAGCCCAACGTATACGACGTCATAAACAATGATGAAGTACGTAAAGTAGTGACCTTGCAGATAAAAAATACGTTATGTTTATTTAAACAAGGCAGAAAAATTACTGCAAGATATGATGTTAGCGATTTATATACTAATGGGGTTATTGACTTAGATCAATTTTTCCAAAGGCTTGAAATGCAAGCCGGTATACATAAAATCAGCCAACTCAAAGTGGCACCGTGGGAAAATATCTTTGAACATACTTCGATAGATAATTTCAAATTAATGGGCAATAAAATCTTGAAAACATTAAGAGTAGCGCTACTCAACCCGGTGACCCAAATAACAAATTTAAAAGAAAAAGAATCAATTTTGTCTACATTTCATGATGATCCAATTCAAGGAGGTCATACTGGCATATCAAAAACTTTGGCCAAAGTAAAAAGACACTATTACTGGAAAAGTATGTCTAAAGATATAACTGAGTACGTAAGAATATGTAAAAAATGCCAGAAAGCCAAAATAACTAAACACACAAAGACCCCTTTAACAATTACAGACACACCAATAAATGCTTTCGACAGAGTGATAGTGGACACAATTGGTCCACTACCAAAATCAGAAAATGGCAATGAGTATGCAGTCACTTTAATATGTGATTTAACTAAGTATTTAGTTGCCATACCTGTTCCGAATAAAAATGCTAATACTGTCGCTAAAGCAATATTTGAATCTTTTATCCTGAAGTACGGTCCAATGAAGACGTTCATTACGGACATGGGAACAGAATATAAGAATTCAATTATAGACGATTTGTGCAAATATTTAAATATTGAAAATATTACATCCACAGCACACCACCACCAGACAGTTGGAACAATAGAAAGAAGTCATAGAACTTTCAATGAGTACATAAGATCTTACATATCGGTTGACAAAACTGATTGGGACGTATGGCTTCAATATTTTGTCTTTTGTTTCAACACGACCCCCTCTATGGCACATACTTATTGTCCATATGAGCTAGTATTCGGTAAAACAAGTAATTTACCGAAACATTTTAATAGCATAGACAGTGTAGAAGCACTATATAATATAGATGACTATGCTAAGGAAAGTAAGTATAGATTAGAAGTAGCCTATAAAAGGGCTAGAGTTATGTTAGAAGCAAATAAAAATAGAAATAAACTAATATACGATCATAAAGTAAGGGATATAGATATATCAGAGGGTGACCAAGTTTTATTAAAAAACGAGACAGGTCATAAGTTAAATCCTAAATATACTGGTCCGTATAAAGTAATGGAAATAGGAGAAAGAAATAACATTATAATAATGAATAATAAAAACAAAAAACAAAAAGTTCATAGGGATAGATTAAAAACGTTTATTTCATAATTGCATTTAGCATGGCCATGCTTAGAAATACTTCTTTCTTAAATAAGAATACTATTATAAATTCCATTCTCTTTATATCAAAATAAAACAAATTTTTTAAAAAAATTTTAATAAAAAAAATTATTATTATTCCTTTAAAGTATACAGTATACAATTAAACCGTCGTCGCATGCAGACGTGTATTTATTGTGCTCCGGGAAAAAATATTCAATAAAATCACAAAAGTGCAGTGACCGTTTTAATAAATCTACTATAACGCGAAAAGACGCTTTCTGCGATGAAATCGCGAATGTTTATATTGATTGGTCATTTAATTAATATAAAACTTAACACTTAAAACTCTAATTAACTTTACCACGAATACAATGAGTCTGAACGACGTTCGCACACAACGTCAACGTGAGCAAGACGAGAGACGGCTCTCAGTACAAAGAAATAACGCGTACTTCTCTTTTAAAGCAACCGAAAATAATGCAAGCTCTGATCAAGCGCGGGCAATTACCCCCAACTTGACCGAGTTCTTAAACGTATCGAGCGAGAGAGCGCGTTCTTGCTCCCCCTCGCTACCATCGACGTCTCTGCGGCCAAAGAGCGCTGAATGTGCTCCAATGCAGGTATGCAATAACCTAAGCTCATCAGCAGTAACTAGCACCCCAATTTCTTTAACAACGTCAACTGTAAGTACAACAACAACTGCAACCGTATCGACTGCTCGTTTAATGACATCATCAGCTAGCAGCGCAAATATTAATAAGTCTGCCACTGCGCTGCCCGAAAAACAGAACAAAACCAATGAATGTACTAAGCCGGCTGTGCAGACTAATATGGATCGCTACATCCAAATCAAAAGGAAGCTGAGCCCTCTAAATTCTCAACGCAAAATAACCCGTAACAATGCTAGCCTAGCTGGAATAGAAACGCCCACGAACTCAAACCGATTTAAAATCTTGGAAGACGCCTATGACGTTGAGGCGGCCGAATCCACTGAAGTCGAGAAAAGGAAGCCAAAACCTCCGCCTATTTATATTCGAGAAAAAAGTTCCAATGTTCTTGTCAACAAAATTATCAAGCTTATTGGAAAGGATAACTTCCACATAATACCTCTAGTAAAGGGCAACATCCAGGAAACAAAGGTTCAAATGAAGTCTGAAGATAATTACAGAGTATTATCGAAATATCTTTCCGAGAATAAAAAGAACTTTTACACGTATCAGCTAAAAAGTAGCAAGGGCCTGCAAGTCGTACTTAAAGGCATAGAGTCCGACGTAACGCCTGCAGAGATAACAAAGGCGCTTCAAGAGAAGGGATTTAACGCTAAGACAGTCTTCAACATCCTTAACAAGGATAGAAAGCCGCAGCCACTCTTTAAGGTTGAGCTCGAACCAGAAAATAAGCCTTTAAAGAAATACGAAGTGCACCCCATTTACAATCTTCAGTTCCTGCTGCACCGCAGAATTACAGTTGAGGAACCGCACAAACGCAATGGCCCGGTACAATGTGCGAACTGCCAAGCCATACAAGGTCATACTGTAAACTGCGCCCGGTGTGTGTAGTTTGTGGAGATCTTCATGACTCCGCACACTGCCCAACGAGCAAAGATGACTGCAACTCGAAAAAGTGCGGCAACTGCGGTGGCAATCACACTGCTAACTACAGAGGCTGCCCTGTTTACAAGGAGCTGAAAAGTCGCATCCACCAGAGAGGAACTGCCGCCCGCACCCAAAATAAACAGATGACAGCTTCCAGATCAAACCCTGAAGTCTTCTTCTCCACTGCAGCCAGATCCTCACTAGGACCCTTAAACTCTGATAAAAATGTGACTTACGCAAGCGCTTTAAAATCAGGACTGGCTAACCCTGTCTCAAAAAGTTCATTTCTGCAATCAGCATACCAAGAACCGAACACGGCTCAGCAGCAACAATTCCCGGAGCAGTCAAAAAGCAACTTCGAAGATATGATATACAGCCTGCAGCAAAGCCTTACGGAGTTTATGTCGTTTATGCGCACAACTATGCAAGATTTAATGCGAAACCAAAATCTACTGATTCAAATGCTGGTTTCACAACAATCCAAATAATGATTTCCCTAAGGATATCTACGTGGAACGCTAACGGCGTCTCACAGCATAAACTTGAGTTAGCTCAATTCCTACTCGACAACCATATCGACGTAATGCTGCTTTCAGAAACACACCTTACAAATAAATACAATTTTCAACTACGAGGTTACTCATTTTACGGAACAAATCATCCAGATAGTAAAGCACATGGTGGGACTGGAATTCTAATCAGAAGCCGTATTAAGCACCACTATCATAACAAATTTGCTAAAAATTATCTACAGGCCACATCTATAAATATACAAACAAATACTGGCAACCAACTTACACTAGCCGCCGTATACTGCCCGCCTCGCTTCACCATAGCTGAAGATGAGTTTATGCAGTTTTTCAACTCACTAGGAGACCACTTCATAGCAGCAGGGGACTACAACGCCAAGCACACACACTGGGGATCACGTCTCGTGACTCCAAAAGGAAAACAGCTCTATAATGCAGTTATAAAAGCCAAGAACAAGCTGGACTATGTTTCTCCTGGCAGACCAACATACTGGCCGGCAGACCCAAGGAAACTACCCGATTTAATAGACTTTGCAATTACCAAAAACATTTCTAAAAATCTGATAAGCACCGAATGCCTCTCGGATCTTTCATCGGATCTCTCGCCTGTCCTGTTTATTCTTCTCCGACATCCAGGCGCATTGGAGCAATCGTTTAAATTGACATCTCAGAAAACCAATTGGGTTAAGTACAAGAAATACATTAGCTGACAAATTGAGCTAAGTCCTCATCTCAACGATGAAGCCAACGTAGACAGATTTGTTAATACACTAGAGTCTGTACTCGTCTCTGCAGCTCGAGTTTCAACACCCCAAACCACAAGTACACAAAGCAACCAAAAGAAGACAAATCTACAAATAGAACAGCTCGTCCTCGAAAAGCGACGCTTACGTCGAGAGTGGCAACTCCACAGATCACCATCTGCTAGGCAAAGCTTCAAATATGCCTCACGTCAACTCACAAAAGCTTTACAGCAAGAAGAAGCACATGTCCACCGACGCTACATAGAGCAATTGTCAACATCTAGCACAAAACACTCACTATGGAGAGCTCACCCTAATCTAAGCTCACCGAAAGTAACCGTGATGCCTATTAGAAACCCCACAGGCGGCTGGGCGCGCAGCGATGCAGACAGAGCCAGCACGTTTGCCAACCACCTTAAAAATGTCTTCCAACCAAATCCTGCCACTAGTGCGTTCACCTTGCCGACTTTACCACATGAGCCTCAGCTTCAACATGAACCAATCGAGTTTCGCCCAAACGAAATCGTTAACATCATCAAAAATCAGCTGAATCCGAAAAAATCCCCGGGCTGCGACCTCATAACTCCCAAAATGATCATTGAGCTCCCATATTGCGCCGTTTGCACTATCACCCAGCTGTTTAATGCCATCGCAAAACTTGGCCACTTTCTAGTGAGATGGAAAAAGTCGATTATAATAATGATAGCAAAGCCAGGAAAAGACCACACAATTCCCACGTCGTATAGACCTATAAGCCTACTCTCATGCTTATCTAAACTCTTTGAAAAATGCGAATTGATTCGGATAAACACATACCTAAGAATCCAGGAAGGAATTCCGTCACATCAATTTGGGCTTCGTGAAAAGCACGGAACAATTGAGCAGGTCAACCGGATAACATCAGAAATTCGGAACGCGTTCGAAAAACGAGAGTACTGTACTGCCATATTTTTAGACGTCTCTCAAGCAATTGATAGAGTTTGGCTAGAAGGTCTAATGTACAAGATCAAGACAATGCTCCCCAACAACACCCATAAGCTTTTAGAGTCTTACCTCTACGACAGAAAATTTGCTGTTCGATGCAACACTGCTATAACTGACGATTTCACTATTGGAGCTGGAGTTCCTCAAGGAAGCGTGCTCGGGCCAACATTATATGTCCTCTACACAGCAGACATCCCAACAAGCACACGACTAACAACATCTACGTTTGCTGATGATACAGCCATTCTCAGCCGCTCAAAATGCCCGATGCAAGCAACTGCGCAGCTCGCTCTTCATCTGGTCGATGTAGAAAAGTGGCTATCAGATTGGCGAATTAAAGTGAACGAACAAAAATGCAAGCACGTTACGTTCACCCTGAACAGGCAAAACTGCCCGCCGCTCATGTTAAACCATACTCTACTCCCGCAAGCAAACGAAGTGACATATCTAGGAGTACACCTCGACAGAAGACTCACATGGCGCCGGCACATTGAAGCCAAAAGAACACACCTAAAGCTAAAAGCCAGTAGCCTTCATTGGCTTATCCACGCTCGGTCTCCTCTTAGTCTTGAATATAAAGTCCTGCTGTATAACTCGGTACTAAAACCTATATGGATGTACGGCTCTCAGTTATGGGGGAATGCCAGCAATAGCAATATTGACATAGTCCAGCGAGCTCAGTCGAAGATCTTGAGAACAATCACCGGGGCACCGTGGTACGTTCGCAACGAAACCATACATCGCGACTTAAACATTCTACCAGTCAAAGAAGTGATCGCAGAACAGAAGGAAAAGTACTTTACTTTATTATACTGTTAGTTAAATTTTAATGTTAAGATTCGTAAACTTATTGTTAGTCTCAAAATTAAGAGAAGATTCAATAAATAAAAGCAAAGTTAAATAAAAAAAAAAAATTCCTTTAAATAAAATATACCAATAAAATAACTTCATAATATATTACGTTATTTTTCAAAAGGAGGGAGATGTAGTATGCGCATATATTGAATATCTACTGTAAACACACTGTAACACTTTGTTGCAGTGCATTCATAAAGGCCCGGTCAAAAAACCTAAGTGGCCGAACACGAGTCGATCGGCGCGCTCACAGAAAGTGCAAGTGTCAGCATTCTGTTACACACGCCGGCCGAACTCAAGTGCATGCATATACCCTCGCGCTCCAGTTTAAGAGAGCATAATTTAATACATATAATATATAGGTACATAGCCGTCTCTCTGCCGCCACCTGCGAGCAGCGCAGCTACGAGACTTAGACTTAATTAGACTTAAAGAATATTGTAAAAGAACAGAGACACTTTGATCGTTGGAGCGGCACCATTGCTGCTCCTACTAAATAAAAAACACAAATTGGAACCAAACAGAATAATCTTATTTCAGTACTTGTAAATTTATATAGTTACCCTCGTCCGTTTCCGCATGTCTTCGTGATTCCGCCAGCTTGAGTCCAGCCTTGCGCAAAACTCAGGGTCTGAAAATGCGAAAGCGGGCTTAGCAGAACGTAAAACAATCTATTCATATTATTCATATTTACCATATTTGTGTCCTCTTGGAGCTCCAGCAGGGTGATTAGGAGAGACAAGAGGTGTTAAATTAATTACAGCCGCTTGGTTTAAATTTTTCTGGGGGGCCAAATTTCCAACCTTGCAGCTGGTGCAGTCCAGGCCGGGTAGTGGTTTTGCCTGACCTGTAAGTAATGGTATAAGGAGTAGAGGATATGCTTAACGTTTATATTTGGCAATCGTATGTATATATTAATAAATAAATGTACTTAGAATGGAGATGAAGATGTTGTGGACCTAAGGCAATTACCAGCGGGGAGATGAACCGGTCGTTGTCTGGCCTGGCAGTGGCTCCGGCCTTAGAACATGGGTGGTGCCTCCCTCGCGACACTAGGGGCACCACAGGAAGGCCACTTTTCCGTCGTATTTGTATTTGATTACTTTTTCGTTGTTAGAGATGTTAGTATTTGTAGAGTGAGACGTCGATAGTAATCGATGTTTAGTGTTGTGGAAGCTGTAGGGACATTGGGGGTACTCCACCCTGAGGATTCCGGAGCTAGCCGGGGCCGTCCCAGGACGATGCAGTTCCATAACAATACCTTTTCTCAATGACCAATCCCAGTTCTAAACTGACACGCATGAGGCTTGAATTAGAAGAATATGATTTCTCAGTTGAATACTTAAAGGGAAAAGACAACTATGTAGCTGATGCGTTATCAAGAATAACCATCAAAGACCTACAAAATATAATAATAGTTTCAAATTAATGGGCAATAAAATATCCCAGTAAACGGGTATGTGTTTATAATTGTTTTAACATTTCTATTAAATTTGTTTAATCTTGTAGCTTTGTTATTGTAATTTACGCTCTCTATACTTGCTAGAACTCTTTTACTCCATCTCTCCCGCTCTATTTTATAACTGTAATTTACTCTCTATGAACTTCTGGTAGACTTTTTCGTTTATTTCTCTAACTCTCTCTCTTGCATGCTTTACATTGCATCTGTTTATTGATTAAAGTTGTTGTGTTGCACAAGCCACGCTCAGTTGATATAAGATTTATTCTCTCGTGCTCTCTTTATTCGATTTAATTCGTAATCTCGCGGTCTTACTTTTTTCGTGTCTTGCCCCCTTGTGGTTTTTGGATTTGATCCCAGTGCCAAATTTACTTTGAGGTATTTTTCATATTCTTATTTTTTTATTTGCTTTAAGCTTACAATGGCTCTTGTCTGTTCTAAAAAAAATTGTACTCTTGCGTCTTCAACTAAAGACACTTTTATTTACAGTACTGGCTAAGTCGAAGAATTCGTTGCCGACCGTACCTACAGGTACAGTAGGCACCGTTCCTAGTTCTCAGCCCAGTGTGGTTCAGACTGCTGCTGGGGGGCGTAAGAAACTTTCAGTTGTTCCACAAAGGAAGCAATTATTTGTTTCTAGATTCACCCCAGATACCACATCTGAGGATGTTTTGGAATTTATACGTGAAAAATTCCCATCCGAGGATATTGCAGTTGAACAATTTTGATTTTCTTACGCTCGTAGGATATCGTCTGTGTTTAAGGTGTTACTTTCTGAAAGTTTTTGGCTTAATGATGATTTAGTAATTAAAGAATTGGTTCCAAATAAACCGAGAACAAATAACAGGCCTGTGCCAAAAAACTAAAAAGTTTATTCTTGGCGTATCAAAATGTTAGGGGACTAAATATGAAGCTACACAAGCTTTATGCCGACTCCTCTGCATTCACCGAAGATATTTTGGCTTTTACGGAAACTTGGCTAAAACCAGAGATATCTGACTCTGAAGTTCTGTCAAATAACTTTAATACTTATAGGACCGATCGCCCCTCACGTAGGGGGGCGGTGTACTGATTGCCGTTACCTCTAGCCTAACATCCGAAAGAATTCTTAGAATTATCGTTACAGCAAGTAAGCTTTATACGAAATTCTTTAAATAGACAATTAGATCTTGTGTTTGTTTCAGACCCGTCCGAGGTCACGGTATGTAGAATTGACGCTCTTGTTTTACCTGAAGACCGATATCATCCAACAATGGAATTTAGTCCCCCCAACTAAAATGAGATGCTTTCGTAAATGTGACTATAATAAACTTAACGATATGATTTCTCATTATAATTAGACAGACTTGTACAATTGTACAGACATTGAAAGTGCCACTGAACTATTCTATATACTATACTATTCTTCAAAGACTTAAAAACCTTAAATCAAATACTTATAAAAAGTATAAAAAATCGGGTAAGCCATCAGATTTTTCGAAATATGTAGTGGCTCGATCGGATTTTAATGTTTTCAACAGTCATTGCTTATCTATGCATCTAAATCGATGTAAATTTGAATTTTCAAATGATCCGAAACAGTTCTTCAACTTTGTTAATGCCAAGCGTAAGTCATCGGCATTGCCTTCATCGGTACGTCTAAACTCCACGGAGGCATCGACGGATTCCGACATTGCTGATTTATTTGCTGAGTTTTTCCAAACCACTTATAGTTCGACAGCTTGGTCAAATTCTAACTACCCTAATCCCTTAAATAGGGCAAATTGTATTTTTACCCCTTTAATTACTGAAATCTCTCTCTTAATAGATTTTGAAACAACAACACCGACTTATTCTCCCGGTCCAGATGGACTTCCTGGATGTGTGCTCAAGTTTTGTGCGTCAACAATTTGTAAACCGATTCTTAAACTTTTTAATTTGTCTATTTCATCATCAGTTTTTCCTACTATCTGGAAGGACTATTTTATTATTCCACTTCATAAAAAGGGTGCGAAAGCTGATGCCAAGAATTATAGAGGTATTTCCAAATTGTCGGCAATTCCTAAAGCATTTGAACGTATTATCACTTCTCATTTGCAACATTTATGTTCCTCGCTTTTATCACCGTGTCAGCATGGTTTTGTTAAGCGAAGATCGACCACCGCCAACCTTCTTGAATTGTCATCTATTGTAATAAATGAATTTCAGAAAAAAATGCAGACCTACGTTATATCTACAGATTTTAGTAAGGCCTTTGACTCCGTCAACCACTCTCTTCTCTTATTCAAATTAGATCTGCTTGGGTTTCCTGGTAATCTATTAACTTGGATTTCAAGTTACTTGAATGGTAGGACTCAGAGGGTTATATTCAAGAATTCTGTTTCAAAATTGATCCACGTAAAAATCTGGAGTCCCTCAGGGAAGTCATCTGGGCCCTTTGCTGTTTACTTTGTTTATCAACGATCTTCCCTCTATCTTAACGCATTCTCGTGTACTAATGTATGCTGATGATGTTAAGCTTTGTTTATCATATAATGATATAGCGTCGGGATTTAACTTACAGTCAGATATTGATTGTTTTCATGAATAATATGAGTACAACCTTTTAAAGTTGAACTACCTTAAATGCAACGTTATGACTTTTTATAGGGGCACTCCTACGTTTATTATTTATTTTCTTGAAAATACGTCACTCGACCGTATATATTCAGTTAACGATTTAGGTGTTCTTCTGGACCCTAAACTTAAATTTGACTGCCACATAATGTCCACTGCTAATAAAGCCATGAGTGTTCTTGGCTTTATAAAGCGTTGGTCAAAAGAATTTGATGACCCTTATACGACCAAATTATTATTTACCTCCCTTGTCCGTCCTATTTTGGAATATTGTTCGTGGGTTTGGAGTCCACAATATTAAGTTCACATTGACCGTATTGAGTCGGTACAAAAAAAATTTCTTCTATTTGCCCGTCGTAGTTTGAACTGGGATCAAAACGTAAGGCTACCTTCCTACCAGAGTAAATAACTGTTGCTTAATTTACCTACACTTGTAAATCGTAGAAAAATGCTTGGTACAATTTTTATGCATAATCTTATAAGAGGTGATATTGATTCTGCAGAACTTGTAAACCGCCTAACTTTCAATGTTCCTGTTAGACTAACACGAAATTGTATCCCTCTAAATTTGCCATGATGTTCATCAAATTTTTGTCTGCACGAGCCCTTTCGCGTTCTATGCAATACTTATAACAACCTGTATTATCTAATTTGCATTTCCACTTCTATCCCGTTATTAAAAACTAATATTTTAACTCATTTGATTTTCTCTTAATTGTGCCTTTTATTTTCACTTGTGTCTTGTCTCTATTTAATTTATGTATTTTCCTCACGAACTCGCATTTTTTGCCCAAATTGATAATAGGGCCCGCGCGTAACAAGCACGTGCTTGGTGTCGTTGGGCCACTTGTTTGTACTGCTCGTAGTGCATCAACGTCCATCAGATTAAGAGTAGCGCTACTCAACCCGGTGACCCTAATAGATAAACAAACAGATAGAGAAGTCATTCTGTCTAACTTCCATGATCCCATACAAGGAGGTCATACTGGCATTTCAAAGACTTTAGCAAAAATCAAAAGACATTATTTTTGGAAGAATATGACTCGTGATATCACTGAGCACATACGAAAAATATCAATAATGCCAGAAAGCTAAAATAACTAAACATAGCAAGACCCCACAATAGAGGTGGAGAAAAATCGATGTTAACATCGATGTAATCGATGTTTTCAAAACATCGGTAACATCGATGTTTGGCTTGCCAAACATCGATGTTTTCCATCTCTAACTGGGCTACATAACCATTACATGCCATTTCATATCCAATAATTTCAAATTGGAATCGGCAATTTTATCAACACAACATCTTCTAAAGCCAACAAATCACACCGCTGCAAATATAGCAGAAACGATAAAATCGGTGCTAGATGACTGGGCGATAGCGCAAAAAGTTGTATGTCTTGTGTCTGATAACGACGCTTCCATGAAAAAGGCGTGCGTTTCATTAAAATACAAACACTTGCCGTGTGTGGCCCACACTATTAACCTGCTGGTCCAGGACATATTAAAACAGCCAATATTAGAGGAAATTCTAAGCAAATGCAAGACTGTTGTATCGTTTTTTAAAAGAAGCTCGACTGCGTATGCAAAATTCAAAGCAGCACAAAAAACAGAAACTCCATATGGCCTGGTTCAAGAAATGCCGACGCGCTGGAATAGCGCATACGAAATGATCAAGCGAGTAATTCTGACAAACGAATATATTAGTGTAGTATTGGCTGTATCTCACAATGCCCCTTCACCGTTGTCTGCCGAAGAAATTGACGTTTTAAAAGAGATTTCGATATTGCTTGCTCCATGCGCGGATGCAACCTTGTCGGTTTCGACGAACACCAATGTCTCAATTTCGTTGATCATTCCTGTAATTTGTGAACTTTTCCACAAAGTTAATGGATTCGATTTCAAAACAATTGAAGGAATCGCTGCCGCAGATTACATGAAGATTCGTCTAAGGGAAAGATTGTTTGCATATGAAACTAGAACGATTCCTCGTATCGCAACAATTCTCGATCCGCGATTCAAGAAGCAAGGGTTCCTTGCCCAATCGAACTCGGAGGAAGCGGCCAAGGCTTTGCAGGAAGAGCTGAACTCCGTTATGACAACAACTCCACGACCGCAGCCAGCACCACCAACAGAGGAACCTACACGGTTCTCATTCCTCAAAACTAAAATGGAGACAACAGTTCAATCACTTCGGGCGGATTCCATTATACTCTTACGCCAACATCTAGAGAAAGGGAACCAACCGGAAAAGTGCGATCCGTTGGCGTATTGGGAGGTAAAACTTTATATGCTAAGTCTTTTGTTCTTCAAATATTCAATTAAACAAAATATCTTATTTCAGATGTCAACTGATGAACCATTTAAAAAGATCTCGAAAAAGTTCCTTTGTATTCCAGCATCCTCATGCGAGTCTGAACGCCTCTTTAGCAAGGCAGGCCAAATGATTTCGGACCGTCGCACTCGCTTATTGCCATCAGTCGTCGATAAGCTTCTGTTCCTTAACAAAAACAAAAATATTAATAAAATTAAAATATAATAACAAAAAAAAAAATTTTGTTAAACATCGATTAAACATCGATGTTTTTCACCAAAAACATCGAAAACATCGATGTCCACAAACATCGATTATTCTCCACCTCTACCCCACAAACAATAACAGACACACCTACAAATGTTTTCGACAGAGTGATAGTGGACACTATAGGTCCACAAAGAAAATGGCAACGAGTATGCAGTCACTTTAATATGTGACTTAACTAAGTATTTAGTTGCATTCCTGTTCCAAATAAGAATGCTAATACTGTCGCTAAAGCAATATTTGAATCTTTTATTCTGAAGTACGGTCCAATGAAGACGTTCATTACGGACAGGGGAACAGAATTCAAGAATTCAATTATATGCAATTTGTGCAAATATTTAAATATTAAAAATATTACATCTACAGCACACCACCACCAGAACGTTGGTGATAAACCTGATAAAACTGATTGGGACGTACTTTGGCTTCAATACTTTGTCTTTTGTTTCAACACGACCCCCTCTATGGCACATAATTATTGTCCATATGTGCTAGTATTTGGTAAAACAAGTAATTTGCCAAAACAATTTAATAGCATAGACAGCATAGAAACAATATATAATATAGATGATTATGCTAAAGAAAGTAAATACAGATTAGAAGCATTATTAGCATATAAAAGAGCTAAGATAATGATAGAAGAGCATAAGAATAAAAATAAAGTGCTAATAGTTAATGACAAAAACAAAAAACAGATAGTTCATAAGGATAGACTAAAACTTTTTATTTCATAATCACACTGAGTATGGCCATACATAGATAATAACATATATATGCACAACGTTGACTTTGGGGACATTTTTTATGTATATCGATCATTTAAAGGACTTTTGCTGATTTTAGGGACAGTCCTCAAAATTTTCTGGCATATAGCGTCTATTTCGGGGACATTTTAATATACGCAGTGAAGTACGAATTATTTTGGTCCATTTATTTACTGTTATAAAAAGAGGTCTTTTTGCTGCAAAGATTCAATAACCTGTTCTTATATATACTCATTTTAAATAATAGTTTTTAATACTTTTATTTTTTTAATATATATTTATCATTGATTATGGGGACTTCTGATAAAAGTGCGTGTAATGCAATGACTATAAATGTGGAAAGTTTAAATTTATGTTAATATGATATTCTAACCCCATTTCGATGAAAACATGTTGAAAATTCTTAAGTTAAAGCTATATTTAAAAAATTGTACATAATTTTTTTCTGAAAGGTGGCATCTCTGTGCTGTATATATGCATACCGTATCAATGTCTTGTTTGGGGACTTCACAAATAATTAAATTATTTGAAGTAATCTTTAATGGCAACCAAGAGAAACAGATAGTTGGCAAAGTTTTGCTCCACTTTCATAAAAAAAAAATTATTTTATTTAATTTTTTGGGTTTGGTTATATACTACCAATTTCCAACAAAGGGTTTTTTTTTATTTTAATTGGCAATACAACAATAATATTCAATAAAAAAAAGTTATTTTTATGTTAATTCCTGATTAATGAGTTTACTTATGTATCGAATAGTATACAAAACATAGCAATTACAAAATTTCAAATTTTTTTTTTAAATGCAAAGGTTAAAAACCTATAATTTAAATTTTTATCATTTAGAAATTGTTGAAAGTTTGTTAACGATGCGGAAACAAGAACTCCATTAGTATCTATTAAAAAGAGCAAGACCTACTTGCTGCCATGCGTTTTAATAGAAGAAGGAGGGCTAATATGATACTTTTTCACCATGTCGATGAAAATGTGGAAAATACTTAACATAAGCTATATTTTAGCTAAATAATATGTAATAATAATCTCGGTATCCCACATTCCTCCCATTCATACATACATATACATATTGCAAGAACTGCAAGGGTAGGGGGACGGCAGTTCAGAAAAATCAAAAGTGTTTTTAACAAACAAATACCATAAATAAATTTATGAAATAAATGTATCGATAATATATTATTGTACAATTATAACGCAGTCATATTGTTTGTTGGTAATGCTTACAGATATACATACATAGGTATGTATGAATTATATTAGGGTGGCCTTCTTTAAGGTCATATGAGCTCAGAATCTTAAATGATAGCTTTCTGTGTTCAATAAATTTGTGCAAAAACAAAAACAAATTATTTAAACACTTAGGAGGTGCGCAACGGACACAAAGTTTGACTACAAATTATTTATACGACACGTAGAATTTTCCTTCATGCTTTAATTAAAGGCAAAAAAGTCCGCCCTAATGTACATATGTATGTACGTAACTTCAAACTAACACATTGTTCAGACAGACGGCGTTTCTGCAACATCCAAATACGCAACTGTGTTTCTAGCAAACAATAACAATATATGTATAAATTAAAATAATAATAAATGTATCGATGATCTAGTAGTTTATAATAAAAACGTAGTCACATTACATGTTCGTAATGCTTTCATACATTTCCGATCCCCGATATAAAAAATTTCTTCTAGGTTTCGGCAGTTATTAATAACCAAACAAAATGGCATTTACACTTTAACAAAAACTGAAAAGATGTGGGCGCCAGGATTTTGTTAATATGCTTTAAGGGAATTTTGGCTGTTAGAGTGTGCGTGTCAAATTGTTTTTAGGTATCGAAGCAAGAAATATGTACATTTCAGTCTAAGTTTTCAGTACAGCTTGGGCGCCACAGTTTTTCGCGGTTTGTGGGCGTTAGAGTAGGCATGGCACACATACGTAGAATTTTTCTTCATTTCCTAATTAAGGGTACCAAAAGGCAAACAAGTCCGCCCTAATGTACAAAAGTAAACAAAAACTAATACATTGTTCAGACAGACGGCGTTTCTACAACATCCATTTAAATACGCAACTGAGTTTTTAGCAAACAATTACAAAATATATAAATTAAAATAATAATAAATGTATGAATGATCTAGTATTGTATAATGAAAACGTAGTCACATTACATGTTGGTAATGCTTACATACATATGTATATACAGTGGCTCACAGCTTATTTCAACCAGTGCTCAAGTAAAACTTTAAATCGCTGTATTTGCCAAATTTAGAGGGATATTGGAACATTTTAAACCCAGATTTATAGATCTGTATTTTAACTTTTATTTCATCAATTCTTACATTTTTAAATATTTTTTTAATATTTATTTTGATTTTAAGACTCAAATAACAGGTAAAATGAATGCCACATTTTATTTCAACCAGCCATGAAAAGAATATATTTTTTAAAGATTAAGAACTAAAAATGATAAAATAATATTTTGTATGACCAGCCTCCGTGTAAACAATAATTTAAAGTCTTTTTGGGATTGAGTCGACCAATTTTTAAGTCACTTGGGGACTAATTTTGGCCCATTCTTTGAGTAATGCGTTTTTTAGGTCCGTCTTATGGAAATTTTTACGCTTTCGAATTTTTCTGTCCAATATAGCCCACCAATTATCAATAACATTATTATCTGGAGACCAGGCTGATGGTTTCATGATATGGGGGCAATTTTAAATGAGCCATGTCGGCAGAGTTCCCGATGTGTGCTTGGGATAATTGTCCTGATAAAATCGGAATTTATCACGAATCCCCAGATTTTCATGAGAAAAAGCGAGATGCAAACTGCGGAAATGAACTTTGGGTCAACCCTAGCGAAAAGATTAAAAAATTTAATCTTTTGGCGTGCGCTTCTCACTGAACATTATAAGAAATGGAGGAAAAAACTCAAAAAACTCACAAAAGTCGATTCATGTGAGGACAAAATAATATTAATACCATCTGGGGTGCCTCTTGTCAGAGCAAAATGTTTTTTAGGTCCAGAATGTACAAAAAAACACAATAAAAGTGCAGCTATGAACTTTAAATTAGCAAATAATTATCAGTAAATTAAAAAAAACAGCTGTTAAATTTAAATTGTATTGTTTTTTAATTTCTTTGTACATCGGCAGACTTGTCTTGCCAAGGTATTTGATAATATCTTTTAAAGGCTCTTTCCTGCAAATACGATATTTGAATTTTAACTGCTTGTCAACAAACCCAGCTGATTGACAGTACGACCGTAGCACGCTTAAATCTGATGAACTCTCAAAAGTTTGGTCACACTGGAAAGATTAAAGTTTTTACGCTAGCGTAATTGTTTGTCGATCTGGATACTAGGCTTAACAAATAAATACTATTATTGTACTAACCGGCGTACTAAACGTTAACACGGTGCAACAACTTTTTCGATGTTGCAAATTTTAGCGGCAGTGTGCAATCATTAATTAACAAAAAACGCGCTGCGTTATTGAAAGTAGTATTAGTGTGAATGGGATATTATTGTATATAAAAACAAATTATCGAAAGTTTCTCGGACCGGAAAGTACAATGTACATACTCATATATGCACATATCGGATCTGCATTCTCTTGTTAACCGCCTAAGCTTCAAAGTGAGTCCCAAAAAGTTATTGCGTGTGCGCGTGAAGAATATTAAGAAAAAAGTTAAAGTGGCTGCAGGTAAGTAATATAAAGTCCAGTCTATATTTATTTTATGTGTCATAAACAAGGTTCTCAAAATAATTATCTAGTTAAATGGAAATAAGTGATCGGAATTAAGACAGTATTTAAATAACATGGCTAAAAAATAATCTATGCGTCAATTCTAAGATGTTCGAAGGGCTAATTAGAAAAAAAAGTTATGGACATATAAAATTTCCCTGGAACTGTCGCGCCAAAATGCATCCAAAGCCTTAATATTGTTTTTCACATAGCCAAAGGTTATTATATTTGACATTTTAACGGTCCGATCTGTATGATTTTTTTTTTGTAAGTGTTCATAAAACCGAATACTGCAAAAATTGAGAAGAAATGCGGGATAAACTATTTTATTTTGACTGTGTTTAAGATTCTTAAATTTAAACTAAGAATATCTAAGCACCAAGAAAATTTCAATAAGTTAAAACTAATATTTTAAATTTCGCATCTAAATCTAGAATCCACTGCTAAGAACGCAAAAGGCCCAGGCCCATACTCCGAGCTCATCTCTCTTTAAATAATACCGCGGTATCTCAAAATTTTTCTTATAAGCCTGATGTTCCTTTATATGACGTAAGAGACTTGATTATTCCAACCAAAAAATTGATAGAAAAATCGAAAAAACATTTTTGTATGTTCTGTCCAAAACTGCAAACAAAATTTGCACGCCATTTGCAACTCGTTCATAAGAATGAGAGCTCAGTGAGGAAATTTAATTGTCTTCCAAAAAATGACAAAAAAAGGAAACAATTAATTGATGAAATCAGAAAGAAAGGCGACTTCATGTTTAACACAGATAAACAGTTCAACAAAGGCATTTTGATTGTTCCTCGACAGAAACAAAAAAACTCAAAAAACCAAGCTGCTGATTTTGTTTGCTGCAAATTTTGTTGTGGGTTCTTTCCAAAGAACACTTTGCGCAGCCATGTAAAAAACTGCCCTGGTAGTAGTCACAAAAAAGGAACTCGTGATTTACTTAAGAATGGTCGTGCCAAAACAGGATTTGTCCATCACTCTGCTGTCGATGTTCTACGGGAAAAAGTATTGCCGGTGTTAAATGATGACGAAATTTCACGAAACCTACTTTACGATGAGCTTATAATATTATATGCAAATGAACAATGCTTCCGCCACAATGAACTTCAATATGACATGATTAGAGCGAATATAAGGTTGCTTAGCAGATTGGTTATGGAATTAAAGAAAAATTCTGAAGACATTCGAGAGCTCAAAGACGCCATTGCACCGAAACATTTAGACGTTCTTGTATGCTGCATTCGTTCTGTTGCGAAATGGGATTCAACCACTCAATTTTTTAAAACGCCTTCGGTAGCGACTAACCTCACCGCGTTAATAAAAAAATGCGCCTACAGACTACTGGCACAAAGCATAAAAACACAGAATGACGATCAAAAAAATCAGTAAAAGATTTTTTAGTTTTATGGGAAACTGAAATTCCGATTTTTATAAACAAAAAAGCTTGTGAGGATCAGTCGAAAATCAAACGTTCAGCACGAACCATTCTTCCATGTAAGGAAGATATTAAAAAGCTTTTTGATTATGTCAGAAACAACTCAGAAAAAGCTCTTCACGTATTAAAAAATAAATTTGATTTAAATGCCTGGAACTCTTTGATTCAAAGTACACTTATCGCCCTGCAAATTTTTAATCGACGACGAGCTGGTGAAATTGAACGACTCACTATTGAGAATTATAACACTGGCCACGCCATTGAGGAAAATATGGACCTTGAAAATTTCGCATCCCTATCAAAGGAATCACAAGAGATTGCCAATAAATATACAAGACTAACAATTCGCGGAAAGCTGAATAGAACGGTTCCAGTGCTTCTTACGCCTTTTGATAAATTTTGTATAGAGACTATTTTAAAGTATAGAAAAAAGGCTGGCGTAAAAGAAACAAACATCTATATATTCAGCGTTGCCCATTGTAAGCCCTTAGCAAAACCTTATGTAAGGGCGTGTCCCATTTTAAAAATGTTTGCGGAAAGGTGTGGAGCTAGATGTTCAATGGCTTTAAGAGGTACTATGCTCAGAAAACATTTAGCTACGTATACCTCTCCGTTAAATGTAGAAGATATGCAAATAGACAGACTTGCAAACTTTATGGGACACCACAAGGATATACACAAGAGCATATACCGCATACCTGTATCAGTAGCAGAAATTACAGAGGTGTCAAAAATGCTAATGGCAGCTTTGGGAAACGACGATCCAGAGGATGAATCTATTCCTGTTCCGTTAACAAATAGTGAGTAATGTTAATGGGTGCCAGTGGCTTACATATTTATTAACATTTATGATCATAACTTCTTTTTAACGGTGATAATTGTTTGTGGTTGATCTGGCTCTAATCAAGAACAATATCTTGCAATACAATTTTTTGTGCAACAAAAAAAATGTGATTTATGTTAAGACTAAAATTAATTAATTATTTACAAGAATAAAGCACATATTTTTTGACCAGAATGTTCGAGTATAAAGAATGAAATTAATTATTTACGTTAAATATAATCTATGTAAAAATTAATTTATTAAAATCAGAATTATTTTGTATTATGTTTTTTGTAAGCACTATAAATATAGTTGTTTATATTTTGTAGATGATTTCGAAGACTCCGGGTCAAACTATTCGGACAACAAATCTGAAAGTGGATCCGATGACGAGTTTCTCCAAAATTTTAAAAACAACGAAAAAAAGAGTATGTATTGCAATGAATTGCATTTAAAACCTTCTAAGATTAAAATCGCTAAAATTATTAAATATTATTTTTAGCTTTTGAATAAAATTAATAACATTTTTAATAAACCCTTTTTTTAGGATCTTCTTTTGGAAAAATTCAACGAAAACGCTGGACTGCTGAAGAAATTAACGCCTTGACCATCGAGTTTGGCGAACCAGCTCAAATTTCAAAATTACCTTCGTTAAAAAAATGCATCGAGGTAATCAATAGGAATCCCCATCTTAAGGATAGAACACCCCAGCAAGTCAAGTCTTGGATTGACAACCAGAGAAAAGCTGAAGGGCGCAAGACTGGATCTTCTCTTAATAAGAAAAAATATAAACTTTAAGTTACATTATAAAGAATGTTATTCATGAATGTTATTTTTATTTTTATGATTTAAAAACTTATAAATGAAATGTAAGTGTATTTTTTTCATTTTCGCTCAAAAATAAAAAGTTAAAAACAATTGCAAAAATTACACGGCGTTACATGTTTAAACCCTTTATTTGAGTACCTCGGTGGATGTCAAAAAATTTCTCAATGCAATGATTCTGTCAAAAGCGACCTCTAAGTTGGAAAACTTATTTATTTTCTTAAAGTTTATATGAATATAATTTTGGGGTCTCTTTATTTGTTGTCCCGAAAATCGCCTTTTTATAAAAAAAAGTTCAATTGACTTATATAACGTAAGGTCTATATGAATATAATTTTGGGGACTCGATGGAGTGTCCTCGTTGTGTACGTTGGGATAAGCAATATGTTCAACCAGGTGGCAACCTTGTACTTTTGTCCCCGAAATAAGCATTCTATACCTATATAAAAAGTGCCCAATTTATGTATTTAATAAAAAGTTTATTTTGAGGACAAAGTCCCCAAAATTCAATATATATTTCGTGTTCCTGAAATAGACGCTACATACACAAATGTAAATAAATAACGTGGGAAAGCTTGAAGAGCTCCAAAATTTATTGTGGATAGTTTTTGGGTCCTCTTTTATTCAGTTTTATAACGGAAACCCCAAAATTTGTGTGTCCCCAAAGTGGTCGCTGAACATACATATATACATATATAAATATTTTATATATATAAATATTTTTGATATATAAATATTTTTGATCATTTCATTTTCTTTATCGCTATTAAGAAAAATAACAAATATAAACAATAAAAACCCCAAAAAAAAACAAAATTTTTTTTAATTTTTATACATAATAAGAAATAAAATAACTTCATGAAATTACGTTATTTTTTAAAAGGAGGGAGATGTAGTGTATGCACATATAAGTTCTTATTACTTAACATAAATATTGAGCGGCAACACCTTGTTAGCCGAAGTCACAACGCTTTGTTGATATACAAATAATATACATAGGGCATTGCCTTTGTCACTCAGCGACAGCGTGCCAAGTGCCCAAACACATTTCAAGTGCAAACGTAATACGATATGAACTCATTGCATTCACCGCTTAGAGCCGAGCATGGTTCCCACGCTGACCGCTTATCTACATATGTGCATGCATAACTCTCTCTCTCTCTCTGCACATTTTACATATTGTTACTTTAGATATATAAAATATATAAAACGGCTGCTCTGCCGCTGCGCCGACAGCTATCAAGCCTTAGTTTAAGAGAACTAAAGAACATTCAATAAAGATACATTCAACCAGAAGGTTGACTTCAAAATAACACTGCTTTTGATAACTTAATTGGAATACATTACACTGCATTGTAGAAATCAATTGGGACACACCACAATACTATCATTCGTAGACTAATTTCACGACTGCCCAAGCTTAAGTTGGTTCTCTTCCCTTGTTGCCTCGGGATCGAAGCTTTTAAAGTTTATCTTCGTAATTTTCCGAAGTCTTGGTTTCCGAAGTTAATTACCGATTAAGATTAATGTGAGTAGCATGGAAAATTTGGAAGCGAACGCGATGCCTAAAAATGAGGGTTCGCGGTGTTGGGATTCTTACGGATGTTTAGTCTTAAGTTTGGCTCGCCTTTGGCGGCTAGCTAGGGGGAATTTGCTTACGTCTTTCTCAAGCTTGGCTCGCCGTTTGCGAGGGTGGGAATGTTTATATGATGGGAACCCGTGAAAACTCAGCAGCAAGCTCTGCCAAAATAAATTGGTTACAATTGTAGTGATTGTGATTCTTAGTTTTATGCTCGCTACGTAAACGTGCGGCTAGCTCAGAGAGGTTGTGAGTTCGTTCCACCAAATTTATATTGAGTGACTGCCCGTGACCAAAGGATAACGCCAGAAAGGATTGCGTTGGTGCTGGTTTATTGATTCTCAAAATATAGCCTTATTGCTACTGCTTTGCTGCCCGTTGTCGCTGTCTTCTGCTGCGTCGCTCCTGGCTTGCAGCTGCGCTGATCCTGGTTTGCCGCTGCGACGCTCCTGGCTTGCTTCTGCGTCGCTCCGTTGCTGCGTTGCTTCGGCTTGCTGACTGAGATCGGGAAACTTCGTTTCACCTTATCGCCTAGCCACCTCCTCAGGCCACGAAGCAACCTGTTTTTTGGCCCGCTCTTGTCCGTTCCGATCGCCAACTCCCCCGCTCTGGCTGCCTGCGCTTCCTGCGCTTCCAGGCTCTCCATGAAGTCTCCAGTACGCTCTGAAGGGCATCGTGCTAATTATGTTTAAGCAGTTCTTTTACCGACTTACGTGAATAAACATTTATTTAATTGTCGGTCATTAGTCAGCCATCGAAAACTCCGTTTCGTTTGACTTTCTGTATGATTTGTCCAAAATCAAACTACGATTAAACCGACAACGGCAATTAAAATAAAATTTTGCCCTTCCTTATTTTCCTTTGATCGTGCGGCCATTTTAATCCATTTTCCTTTTGTGCAAATTAAGTACATTTGGAGTACATAAGTACATTTGGCCGTACATCAAAGCCAATTACATACATTCCGAAATATACATAAGTGTACATACATAATTAAAATCCAGTGAACAATCTCAGCGAAAAGTTTAAAGTGTGCTAAAATATATTTCCAACGCACAGTGAATATTAATTACAGGGGATCCGCCAAAATCGGCCCCCTACTTATTTAAAGTGTCAATCCTTCGCTGTTTCCACAGCTAAAAGATTTATACCCGTTACTCGTAGAGTAAAAGGGTATATTGTATTCGTGCAAAAGTATGTAACAGGTAGAAGGAAGCGTTTTCGACCCTATAATGTATATATATTCTTGTTCAGGATCACTAGCCGAGTCGATCTAGCCATGTCCGTCTGTCTGTCCGTCTGTGAAATCTAGTTAGTCAAATTGGAGGTCTGAGTCAAACAATGGCGTATGTATGTAAGCATATACATATGTATGTATTTACATTGTACACAGTTGCAATTGCCCGGCAAAGATAACTCCTTTCAAAGAAAGCTATACGCTATACCCGTTGTGCAAACATTTTGACTTTAATATACATAATACTATTTAAAAATGTATGTGTTTAGCCAATATAAGTATGTATGTTTAATATTTCTAGTCATTTTATTGCACTCAAAAACATAAACATAAACACAGCTGCTGGTGCAGGACAAAAGCTGCCTGCGCTAAAGCAGCGCTGGTGCTGATGCTCGTGCTGTAAAGCTGCCAGCACTAAGAGATCTTTTAACTTTTTGTCCTTTTTTCCTGTGGTCACTATAATTCACATTATTTAAAAAAAAAAACAAAAAAAAACACAAGAAGGCATATTTATATTAAGTTGTTTAGCTGAGTAACGGGTATCTAATAGTTTTAAAATATTTTCGCCCACCTACACCTATGTGCACGACCGAACCTGTGTCCCATTACGCATTTTTCGTAATTCCGATTAAATGATTAAATATCAAATTAAATTCCGACCAATGCAAAACCAAATTTAATTGGCATTTCCCTATTTATTTTTTTTGTCCAACCAATCCGAGTGTGAACATCACATTATTTATTATTGCCCGAACATTAAATACCGTGATATATATAGTGACATATCCATAGCACCACAAACCTCTATGTACATGTCTACACACCCACACATACATACATACACACGTTCACATTACTTTAAGACACCCTCAAACCAATGACCAATATAATCAGTTTATATTGGTCTTTGCTTAAACCATGGAAAATTTCCATGTTATTAAAAACTCCAGACTAATAGACTAAACAATTTAAATGAGCCGCTGATCTGACGACTCAGGATACTCAGATTTCGGGACCGAAATCATAAACAAGATGAGAACAAAGAACGGTCCAAAGTACAATTATGAAAGTCACTCAATAAACACTAAAGCCACTCATTAAAAAGCTCCAAAGTTCAGAACCGAAGTTTGATCGTAGAAGAAGTAGGAGTTAGAGAGAGAGTTCAGTTTGAGTCTTAAAACAGTTAGGACGGTGTTCTTCCAAATAACCATTGTACTAGTTGATAAATAAAAATTAAATAAAGTTTTTTTTTATGTAAAACTTATGGTAAAAATATTTAATTGGCGCAGCCGGTAGGATTTCTAGTGAAAAAGTTAAACGTCAAAAACTAGTATATCCTGACTAGTGCGAATAAATCAGAAACCGTTTAAGAACACTAGTGAAATCCGCAAAAGACTCTACTCGCATAAACCAGTGAAAAATCCAATTCGGTCAATACCACTAAAAATTAAATAATTTAAAAGTAAAATATTGAAAACACATAAAACAAAAAAATTCCAATTCGGTCAATACCACTAAAAAATTAAATAATTTAAAAGTGAAATATTGAAACTTTTATAAAACCAAAAATGGCAACCCCAATCCAATTATCGGAGCTCCATTTGAATCAATTAATTGGTCAAGTAAAAAAGTTGCCCTATTTTGATGGCAATCCCGCCGACCTAGGTGGTTACATCGGGCGTAAATAAATAAGTTAGATTTAGAAATAGATCAAACAGATAAAACTATTTATACAGCATCATTAAACAAAACCATTACGAAGTGCATAGAAAAAAAACCTTCCTGATAGATTGTATAATGCTTTATCAAAAGGAGATATTTCCACAATTAACAATTTAAAAGAAAGAGCAATGGTATTAGGACACTGGGATGCAGTTCCCTTTGAGAACTATAGATCGGTGCGTTACGATAATCGCAGGAATTCGGGAAATACCCACCAAAATTATTATCACCAAAAGAATAATTCAAATTATTACCCAAGACACAGTAATAATTTTAACAGTTATTCAAATTCAAATTCGTATTCAAATCCAAATCCAAATTTAAATAATTCAATAGTTCCTCAGTCTTCAGCGAATCAAAATCGCTATTATCAAGAATTTAGAAATTCTCTAGCTCAAGGCAGAAAATCCATTAAATTACCAAACGTCAACATATGTACATATAATAATTCCCCAAATGCTCCTGTAAAAAGACAAAGACAAAGTGAGAGCACACAGAATAGGATGGACGTAAATTTTCAGCAAATAGCCTCGGAGCCAGAAAATTCTACCCATATATCAGAGTAATCAGTAAAGG